TTGGGACACCCTTTCAACGGCTTCAACAGCTAATTTCAATATTATTATTACTATGTTGCGCCTTTAATAATTGACGAAAACGGCAAACGTTTAAACCCAATGCAATAACGGAGGGCCGTTACGTTATTGCACTCCAATAAAATTATTTGTGTGACTTGATTTAATTAAGCTTTATTTCGAATATATGTTTTTGCATTTTACGAGATGAAATTAATTTAGTCAAGTTGATCATACTATCATATTCAATGTGGTGATATTTATTTTTATTTTTTGTATTTTGTGAGGTGAAACTAATTTAGTCAAGTTTTGAGCGGACGTTATTTGACAAAGCATATGTTCTTTTTTACATTTTACAAGAGAAAACTAATTTAGTCAAGTTTTAATCAAACCTTATTCAATGCAACTATTATTTCTACATTTTGCAAGGTGAAATTAATTGAGGTGAGTTTTGGTTTGGACAATTTGAAACAACTTTATTTGATTCTTATCTTTCATAATATGAGATAGGACTTATTCTTACCTAGAATAACCACAAAAATAGTTTATCTTAGTTCATCCGTTACATATTTGCTATATGTCGTTATCATTTCTCAATTATACTTTCACTACTTTTCATACACCACTTGTTTGCAAAGTGACTTTTCTCATCTCTTAATGGGTTTTTTTTTTTAACTTAACCTTTTTTTTGGAAAAAACTTAACCTTAAAATAGTATTTAGTGACGAAAAAAAAGTACTTAGCACACAGTTGAGAAATGAAAAGTGACAATAGTGTTTTTATAGCCAAGTACTTTGTAGTTTAGTGGCACCAAGTTGCTCTCTCATATTAAAGGTTGTGGGTTCGAGTTTCAGTGGGAGCAGTATTATATTGACTCTTTGTACTTCAATAAGTTGAGAAAATAATTATGATCAGATTTTGCATTGTAACAGAGTCAGTAATACTCAAAAAAAAAAAAAAAAATTCTTATAATTTATGGACAAAAAATATCATTTTCTCTAATTAATTTGTATTGTACTCTCAAACCTCTATTCACAAATAACCATCGTTTAATAAAAAAAATACATGAATAAAGATAAAAGTATATATATATATATATCAATGTAGTCTAGATAATTACGGAGTGAGAAATTAGGTGGGAAAGAAATTACAAATTTATGAGAAATGAATAATGTGGGAATAAAGTGGTAGTTTAAATTTCAGTGTTTGATTTGCAAGAATAGAATTACTGAGAATTTCAATTCTAATATTTGGTATACATGATCATTGAAAGGGAATACGTAATATAAAGTCCAAAATGATCATACTTATTATTATTATTATTATTATTATTATTATTATTATTATTATTATTATTATTATTATTATTATTATAAATCCTAAATGACCAAATTCAAACTTTGCTTTTTGAAAATTTATGTAACACGTTACATAACGAAAGCAATAAAATAGATAAAAGAATTTTGGGACATATTTGAATGAGATTGGTCTATTGATTGATGTTTTATGTTGAAAGTAGGAGGAGATGACACACTATGAAGATAATCACCACTTAGAAAATTAAATGAGGCACCACATAAACCCAAAAAAAAAAAAAAAAAAAAAAAAAAAAAGGGCCAAAAATAAATGTATTAATTATTATATTGGAAAATGCTAATTTTGGATAACATCAAGTAATTCGCGGATAACAATAAGGATGAAATATTCAAATATAGGGATCAATAATATATATATATATATATATATATATATATATATATATATATATATATATATATAAGAGAGAGAGGAAGGTTCAAGTGCGGCAGTGCGCTTAGGTGCGGCGGTGCGGTTAAATGTAGGCCATTAGATTAGATAAATTCAACGAATCACATTCATCCAGGCTTTTCCGATATTTTCGCGCACGTTCTCACACTACGCGAACTGCTAGGTTAAAGTCGTCATTGGGCACCTGAATAGATCAGATCATAGTGTTGTGTGTTTTATGTTCGTTATTGGTGTATTATTAACCTTACTGTGGTGTATTTGAGGATTCTTGTTGGTGCCAAGTTTAGGTGCGCCCGCGCCTTCCCATGCGGTCAGTGCGGGTGCACTAATAGTTATACAAATATACACCATCCATGTTAGAAAATGCACACCAAAAAAACATGTCACAAATTAGATATGCATCACCAGAACGCACCATTAGGTATGAATAAAAGCACCACACAGTGTTCAGAAATACACCATTGGGGTGATGAGTTATATGGTGTATTTTTTGAGTGTGTTGTGTGTTTTTTGGTGTATTTGTGCATTTCATTGTGGTGCTTTTTCCTAACACTATTGGTGTCTTTTGTTAACACTGTTGGTGTATTCTGACAAGCGGCCGATATAAATGACCACTACAATTACCATAACACCCTCCACTTATCAGGACGCGCTTAAATCTTTAAATCTTCAGAAATTAGCCGCTGTCGTTAGATTAAGCAAAATGGACGATACTGATATAGCCGCACCGCCGCACCTAAAGCCACTGCCGCATTTGAGCGCTAATCTATATATATATATATATATATATATATATATATATATATATATATATATATATATATATATGTATGTATGTATGTATATATGTATATATGTATATCATATCTCAATATGAATTTGTTCATAAGTTCTCATTCACTTGAAAAAATGATTTTAAATGTATCACATAATATATCTAAAAACATAATAAGTTTCAATCTAGGTTATGTCTCTGGTTTTATGTTTGTTTTTTCTGTTAACTTTTTTTGTACCTTATGCTATAAATATTGTACTACATAATTTTTTGAACAAAAATATCCATGCTGTTATAACTTCTGTTATTTTTCACATTATTATTACCATGCACATGCATACACAATATCTTTTTCTTACATTATAAGTTTCAATTATGTCGCGGGTTTTATGTCTGTTTTTTCTGTTAACTTTTTTTTGTACCTTATGCTATAAATATTGTACTACATAATTTTTTGGACAAAAATATTCATACCGTTATAACTTCTGTTATCTTTCACATTATTATTACCATGCGCATGCATACACAATATCTTTTTCTTACATTCTTCAATTGGTAAGTTTGATTTTATTTAGATTTTAATTAAATGTTACCATAGTTATATTTAGTAATATGCATTTCTATAATTCTTATTTTATTAATATTAATACGAATTCTACAATTATATATATATAGGGTTAGGTTCCTGTGAGGCCAGGTCTTCCCGTGCGGTCAGTGCGGCATACACCATTAGGTATGCATAAATGCACCACACAGTGTTCGTAAATACACCATTATGTATGGTGTATTTTTGGCATTTTATTCTGGTGTATTTTTTAACACTATATGGTGCATTTATACATACCTAATGATGTATGCCATACTGACCGCACGGGAAGACCTGACCTCACAGGAACCAAAATATATATATATATATATATATATATATATATATATATATATATATATATATATATATACACACACACACACACACACACACACACATTTATTTTTAAAAAATATTTTAATATAACTAAGATTATACATTAAGTATTAATATAGGACATATACTTTTGTGAATCGCGCATATGAAATACTAGTACATATTTATATTCGGTAATGTGACAATAAATAGTATAAAATAATTTTATACTCCGTATAACATAAAATTTTTGTTTTTTTTTTTTTATTATAAGGGAAGGGGACACTCAACTACATCCTATTACACCAAATGTCACTCTAATCGCCTCCACCCGAAGGTTGAACCCCCCAACACCCCACTCTATTACAATGTAAACACAAAGATCCAATAACGCCTTCACTAAGGTTCAAACTCACAACCTCCTATATAAAATTCCAACCCGGGTGCCATCTGAGCACAAGGTGCTTGGCTTTTGACAACATAATTTAGTTTAATGAATATTTAAAATCGTCTTAGTGTTTTCTTTTTGTCATTTTCTCAGGCAATCTACTAAGATAATATACGAAGACTAATCTCATTTGTGTTGAGTGTTTAATTTTCTTTAAGAAAAAATAATTATTTTTAAATTTTCTTAGATAAAAAAATGCTCCATAATAAATTTTAAGAAAAAATTCAAAATAGCCTGGTTGATTTTATGACTAACGGGGAATCGACGGTGAGCCTACACCACGATTAATAATACAAGAAAGATATGGGGAGAATAAGTGTTTATTAGGAAAAAGCATATTTGTTTTGTCCATTGGGAGGGGATATTTACATTAGAGGACTTGGTGTATTAGACGAGACTTAATTCTTAAGAGCTATTGGAGGCCTTTACACCGTGAAATAAATAATAGAGTCCTATAACACAATGAATTAATACACGATAATTGATTCCCACTCGAAATGGGTTCATGGGTCGTGAGCCCCGCCTTATTTACATAGTCTGATAGCACTCCAGAGTCACCAACATCACGTCGTAGCCGACGTACAAGGGTCCAACCAATTGCCGAGAGCGAGGTCCAATTGACTAGGCCTTAGTACTTTATCCATCGAGCCCCTTGAGATCCAACGTGGCAATGAATAATACAATATTTGTCGAATCAAATAGTATATTCAATGAACTTAAAAGACTAATTAAATTAAATCCAAGTCCTGAAAATAAATGTAAAATTATTATTATAAATGAATGAATATTACATTTACTTTATTTTTATTTTGTAAATTTTGTAAAAGTGTAAAAGTGGGGAAATGGATGAAGGACTAAAACACGCGGGTTGCAACATGCAGAAAAATAGAAGAAACGGGTCCCGGCCTCCCGGGTGGGACCCGGTCCACGTTGCCCGCTTTCCCGCACATTTATATATAACGGGTTCAGATAGGTGAACCATTCTCGTGTATCAGAAAAAACCAGACTCTCCGGCGGAGAGAGTTACAGTTGAAATTGTCTTTTGATCTTTTCTCTCTCTCTCTCTCTCTCACACACATATATATATATATATTATATATATATATATACATATCTTCCTGACAAAAATAACCAGAGAGTGAGGAGATTTGTAGCTCGGGTTCTAGAAGGTTTTGGAGTGATCGGAGAGCGGAATCAGCAGGGAGGGAATGGTGCTAGTGCAAGGCGGTGATGCGAAAGGTCTAGAGAGGCTGCCGGCGGCGAACGGTGGAGTGTCGGCTAAGGCAGCGCCGAATAAAGGAATGCGACTGGGGAGGTACGAACTGGGGAGGACTCTAGGTGAAGGAAACTTTGGAAAAGTCAAGTACGCGCGCCACGTCGACTCCGGCGAGTCCTTTGCCGTTAAAATCCTCGAGAAGAACCGCATCCTTGACCTACGCGTAACCGATCAGGTTCCATTTCGATACCGATACGATTATATGGTTTTTCTCATTTTCTACGGAATTCGTATGCGATAGAGATGAAATTGTGAGGTCGTGATTGGTGAAATGATTAATTAAGTTTATATTTTAACTAATGATTCGTGCTAGTTTCCGAGATTTATGTTTCCCTCTCAATCAAGCAAGGATTAGCCCTTTCTTGTACCATATGGTTCCTACTTGTTCAACGCATATACACTGTTGCTTTTCTTTAAATTCTTTTTCCTGTAAGCTATGCTTTCTTGATTCGGATTCGCATCAATGATCAAAGAATTCGGTTAATATTCCTTTCTTTTAGGTGAAAACTAGAAAATTTTTAATGTAGTTTAAGAACTGTTAATTACAATTCCTTGCCTGCTTGTATTTGCAGATAAAGAGAGAGATCGGGACCTTGAAACTTCTCAAACATCCCAATGTTGTCAGATTGCACGAGGTAAATGTTTTTCTTAGAGCCATACTAATCTATCTTTGTACTGTTCTAGATAGGAATATTAGAGGTGTACACGCTAATGAAAGATAAGAAATATATAATAATGTTTAAAATTCAACTCTCTTTTATTCTACTTTTTCTTTTTGTTGTTTTTTCATGTTTACTTCTAAGACAATGTTTCCAACCCAACTTTTCCATAACTTTTTGTATTCTTCTGCTTTAAAACATATTCAGGCTTATGTGCCTCTTAAATTTTTTAGAGTTGTGAAGTATTAGCAAGAATACATTTTCTACATCTCTGTATGATGAAGTATACCCGGTGCTATTAATACTTCTACTTTATTAGATAAGGATAAAGTTTTTGTTTTGGTTTCTTAAATATTAAAAAATCTGAAATTAATTTTATGGTTGGCATTTTGGATATAATTTCCCTTTCTCAGATCTATTGGGTGGAATAGATTATTTAAATCTAATTTTTTCCAATTATTACCCATCTTTGCCTCTTTGGTCCCTGCGGGCGGCTTCTACTTAGCAATTGATGCCAGAATTGCTGTTGGTCCCACCTCAGCTCTGATAGTGGAAGGTGGGCCATCTTGCCATGAATGAACCAATCACTGAAAACATCACTTTGGTGATTGTATTCAATGGGATCTCCACAGATCCACCAGTAGTTTTTTTTTTTTTTTTTTTTTTGTTGCATAGTGATATTACAATTTTAGCTGTTATGTCCTGTTATGGGGGACTAAGGCCATGTTGCAGCAAACCATGGGATTTTAACATAAGACCTTTGTGTGTAATTTTGTCTGACCAAATGGCCTATTCTCACTCACATCAATGAATAACCAGGTCTTGGCAAGCAAAACCAAGATATGTATGGTCCTAGAATACGTCAATGGGGGAGAATTGTTTGACAGAATTGTAAGTACATTGTTTTTTCTACTAAGTTATAGTGAAGTAAATCTGAGATGTTCCTAATCTTCTTGTGACTAATATTCTCTCTTCTGTTTGCCTTAGGTATCCAAAGGCAAACTGTCTGAGGTAGAAGGCAGGAAGCTCTTCCAGCAATTGATTGATGGTGTCAGCTACTGTCACAGCAAAGGAGTTTTCCACAGAGATCTTAAGGTATTACTTCGTTTTCTAATTGTAAAGCTTTGTTACTTTACACAGTTCAGAAGAACTTCCAGATGATTGCATTATTCACTTCTCATTAATTCTTTGCAATTGTCCTTCAAAGGGTACCTATATATATTATTATCTTGATTCCCTTCTAAAAATGCAGCTAGAAAACGTGCTGGTTGATGAGAATGGGATCATTAAGGTTTCAGATTTTGGCCTCAGTGCATTGCCTCAACATTTTAGGGTATTGTATATGAACTTTAGTCCAGTTTTTTCTTCTTCACTTGCCATTGTTTTTCCTCCATTAAGTTTGCTTACTTGTTTCCTGCATACGAGTATAGGATGATGGGTTGCTGCACACAACATGCGGAAGTCCCAACTATGTTGCACCTGAAATTCTTTCAAACAGAGGATATGATGGTGCCACCTCAGATACCTGGTCAATCGGTGTCATCTTATATGTTATTCTTACAGGGTATTTACCCTTTGATGATAGAAATCTAGCAGTACTGTATCAAAAGGTTGGTACTATTATTTCACATAATTAATTAAGATCTTCCAGGACCTTTAATAACTTTTGAGGGAAATCAATCAGATATTCAAGGGTGATGCTCATATACCAAAGTCACTATCTCCAGGGGCACGGGACCTCATAAAGAGGATACTTGATCCCAACCCTAGTACCCGTATTACAATTTCAGAGATCAAAGAACACCAGTGGTTTAAACCAGGCTACAACCCTGCAAATCCTGATGGAGAAGAAGAAGATGAGGATGATGATGCATATAAAGATAATGAAATCCCAACTGTAAATGAAGTGGTATGGAATTGAACTTAGTTTATTCTTTATGTTGATTTATGTGATTTGTTACACATGACCACTGAAGTTAGTTTTCTTTCAGCCACTCGATGGAGAAAGAAATCCAGAAACACCACCAACACTTATTAATGCTTTTCAGCTGATAGGAATGTCTTCCTGTTTAGATCTTTCTGGATTTTTTGAGAAAGAGGTAAGAGTGATCCTAGGAAGACCAAAATCTTTAATTTTTGTGCTGTAGTATATGGGAACTTAGTTATAAAATGTGGGAACCTTGGTTGATTTGTTTCAGGATGTCTCCGAAAGGAAGATCAGATTTACATCTAACCTTTCACCAAAGGAGTTGCTTGTGAGGATTGAAAATACAGTAACAAATATGGGATTCCAAGTCCAAAGAAAGCATGGAAAGGTTAGTAATTTTCCGCAGATATTCATTATATTTGTAGTGCTTGCATAACATTGTTTTTCCCCCCCAAAAAAATTGATCCTCTTGTACTCCAATTTCAATATTCATATTTAGGACAAGCAACTTTCTTATTGTAATTGAGATAAAGAATACATGTCAGAAATGTATAATCATTTATACAGAGAAAGGAAATTGGGCTTCTATATTAGTCTGATTAATATAACTCAAAAAGAGGTGTGAACCAGAATTGTCTTGAACAGAACTGTTCACATCCAATTTTCAGGATAGTAATCGTAGTGCGGTTGAAAGCATTTATCACTTAGTGATTAAAACTTTTGTTTATACTATCATAATAGAGCAACCTGTGAATTTTCTGCTAAACTGGTTTGTATCTGCATTTATTTAGCTGAAAGTGACCCAAAAGCAGCACAAAGTTCAAAAGTGCCCCGGGAGTCTGTCAGTAGCCGCAGAAGTAAGTAGAATTTGAGAAGTTCATGTTAAATTATGGTTGATGACTAACCTGCAAAATCATGACCATAGTTTTCCCTTTACACAAATCATGGCAGGTCTTTGAAATCAGCCCTTCCTTGTACGTTGTAGAGTTACATAAATCCTATGGTGATGCTGCCGTGTATAGACAGGTACTCCTTAACAACCTTTTCTTCCTTCACTTTCCAGTTGAGTGTTATCATTATTTTTATTTTTTCGTACCATGCACTTAGACACACAAATATTTCATGGTCTTGCAGTTGTGTAAAAAGTTATCCAATGATTTGGGTGTCTCCCGTAGTCAAGAGCTCCTGACAACTGAGTTTAGTACTCAATCAGACGATGCTGAGACAACGGATGGCAGCGACAGCTAAATCTTTTTTTTTTTTTTTCATATAGTTTTGTTAATCCAGAACGATATATATTTTTTATAGAAATGTACAAATGGAATGGGAGCATATATCCATCCAATTATTAGAAAATAGAGAGAAGAGAGCTTTGTATTTAGTTCATTTGATTTGCATATCTCTTGGTAACTTTTGCTACCAGTTGCTAATTGCATATCGAACTGTCATCAAACAATAAATTCAAGCCTGCTATGAATGAAAAGAAAGTATATATTTTATGGAGTTTTTTTTTCTTTTTTTTGGTAATGAATGATATATTGCATTGTGGATTAGGGATGTTTTTGATATTGGAAAGTATAGCTGTGAATTTTCCGACAATTGCGCATAGATATCCTATGTTATCTTTATCCACTTGGGTGGCAAATGGCAATACAATCGAACGTATGTCACTTCTAGTTTACAAAAAGCTTTTGATTGTCCAATATTTTATGCAATCATTACTCTAGATTCTTTGGTTTCCTAGTAAAATATGATTCCCTATTTTACTTCACGAGTATGTTTCACGCAAATCCGGATATGCAGGCCTGCCTGCTTTGGTAATATTGTCAATCAATTCCATAATGAGTGCTGTTTTAGATTATCCACTTGAGCTCCCAGAATAAGTTTGGTTTTTACTCCATAGTGAACAAGGGCTAACAAATATACTTCCTACTCTACTTTAGTTGTTTCAAAAGTATTCATGTTTGTTCAAATTGATGTGTTCACGATTCCCGTTTATGCCAGCTATAGATTGACTTTGAATTTTATATTTTTAATCCAAAAGACTATAATAACAAATATTTTACAATGAATTATTATAATAAAACTCAATATTATATATCAATTATAGCAACTATATATTATACAAATATAAATATATTTAACTTAATTTATAATATTATATTTATAAGAAAATTTTAAAGTGCCGTTTGACCCCTATAACTCTTATATCTTGTGTCGTTTTTAAAGTAAATGGTGGAGGTTTTGAGTTTGTACCACGTACAAAAGACAACATTGTTGTAACATTTTATGACTTTTTTTTTTTTGGTAGAGATTTTTATGACTTATTATTATCCCGCTTCTCAGCGGTCGACATATTATCTCGCTTCTCAATGGTTGACATATTTCTATCCCATTTCTTAGTAGTCTACATCTATCTATCCCATTTCTAAATGGTTAACATATTATTATCCCGCTTCTTAGCGATCAGTCATGTTTCTATCCCGCTTCTCAGCGGTCAGCATATCTTATTCCACTTTGCAGCAATAGATCTTTTTAATCATGTGCAAGAAAGGTGGTAAAGACTAATCACTATGCTATTTGAAAGAGATGATAACCTTTCAGACCATGAGTCAAGACGATCAAGGCGTGCAGAATGTCAGGAGTGTTTATAATATCTTTGCCCGTCAAATACAACAAAAGAAAGTGGAGGACTTATGATGAAGTCATGGGAACCTTGGGGGCCCATAGCCCCATTTTATTGGGAAAGTACTCTTTGACGAACTACCCAAGTGGGGGCAGATTATTCAAATTCTAATTACATAGAGTTTATACCTACGTCGTATAGACTATTTGTTAAGATATAGTCTCTCTCTTTCTCTCTCACACACACACACATATAAACAAGAGTTTGAATCTGAAAGAGATGTAAATTTTCGATTTAATTGAGGAGTAATATAGAAAATAACAACTTTAGGCTATTCTTGAGAACTCAAGAATAACCTAATTCCTAGGGGGCCAAGAATCTCTATTCCCCTTGCAAGGGGAATAGGTCATTCCCAGGCAGAAATATAAGTAAATGAATATGCTTATTATTAAGAATGTTATTTCATTTCAGGCATATTCCACGAAACAAACGTGCCATTAGAGATTAGAGAGTGAACCAGGGATGTGTTTGGGTCGCACATGGGAATCGGAATGAGTATCAAATACTCGGTAATAATAATGAGTTTTGGTGAAAGTATTTTGCACGTTTGATAATATGGTGGAATGAGAATGATCAGCATTGCTGTTTGATTATGTATGATGATGAATAATGAAATGAAACTCTTATTTTATTAAAGAATGAGTTTTTCAAGGGGTAATCAAATTCATAATAGTGTTTTAAAAATCTGTCAACTAAACAATAACAATGACTTTAATACCCGTTCTTGGTAGTTAAACTTGACCAAACCACACCCCGGATATACTCGTAAATGATAGTTACGTGGCATCACACGATGTAGGTTGCATGGTAACACGCAAGAGCAGCGCAACACACAATCATCTGTGCAAAACCCTACACCCTTGGCTTTTGTCACTCCCGCTTCTCCTTTGCTCTGCGCATCGCCATTTCCCAGCAATACTACTACCTTCGCATTTGATTGTACCATGAATCTACTGCACCTGCTATAATACTGCTGCCTATACAATCGGAAAAACAAACAATCGACTATCTCTGTAATGTCGGCGGCTTCGAGAGGAGCTCTCCTTTCTCGTCTCCGGCTGCTCTCGATCGGTCGTCCGCAGCAGCCGTGGAGAGCATTGAGCACCGATGCTGTCGAGGCCGAGGTATCCGGTCGGATTATCGAGGCAAAGCCGCGAGTCATGACTCCCCAATCCAAACGCACCGGCGCCATCGCCATCAAATGTGGAATGACCGCTCTCTGGGATAAATGGGGCGCTCGTGTTCCCATCTCTGTTCTCTGGCTCGATGATAACATCGTTTCGCAGGTGAAAACGCCCGAAAAGGAAGGCATATCAGCTCTCCAGGTTCGCTTCGCGATATACTCTTTTTATATTTGATATTTGAACTGATCGAGCTTATGATGAAGTAGTAGTATGTATAAGAAGGTAGAAAATTTGTTTTCCAGTATTTTGTCTAGCAATTTGAATGAAGTAATACTGCAAATTAAGCACTTTTCATGGCATGTAGAAACAGGGTTAAGTTGCATTTGGTTAGATATGTTGATTGCTCACATTCTAATGCATTGTCTTAACTAGATTGGATGCAGCCACAAGAAGGAGAAGCATTTGACCAAGCCTGAAGTAGGTCACTTTAGAGCTCAAGGTGTGCCCATGAAAAGGAAGTTAAGGGAATTCCCCGTTACTGAGGATGGCCTTCTTCCCGTAGGGACTTCCATTGATGTCCGCCATTTTGTTCCTGGTCAGTATGTTGATGTCACTGGCATTACGAGAGGCAAAGGGTTCCAGGTAAATGGTCATCTTTTATCTGTCTGTTGCACTTGGCATTTATTAAGATTGTTTTCCTCTCTTTGAAAGCAAGATTGAAGCTAAAGCTTACTCATTCTTTTTGTATATCGCATATGGCCATTTCAAGCTGTTTTTGCCTGTTATTTGCTCTGGAATAGTACTACTATTTCTTGCTTACGTTTTGATATGCTTACGAATACTGGCTATTAGTATGCCTTCTTATTTTTCTAAGGACTCTTTGCCCTTGTGATCTGCATAAATGATTATATATTTTTTTCAGAACAAGTGTTTATTATATTCTTCAGGAGGATCAGACCTGTTAAAATGATATTTCTTTTATATGCTCAATATTTAGGGTGGGATGAAAAGGCATGGGTTCAAGGGTATGCCCGCATCTCATGGTGCATCATTATCCCATCGGAGTATAGGGTCTACTGGTCAGAGAGATGCTCCTGGAAAGGTCAGTCACCTTTGTTTACATTATACCTTTCATTTTAGCTTTTACAGTTCTGCACACTGACATATATAGTTATATAGACATATATTCATCTACTGGAACTGTGTTTCGTGATTTCTGGATAGTATTTGAATATCACATTATTGAACTTTTTTCCCATCCTTGAGGGCAATTTATAAAATCCTAAGTTCAAGTGACATTTTTGGATTTAGAGTTACTACCCTACCCACACTTTCATATTTAGTCAATTTATATACCAATTGGGTGTTATCAATACAGTTGAGGGATTTTTTAATGTTATGCCTCCATATTACTTTTGTTTTTTCCCAAATATAAGTGGTAAGTGATGATTTCATAGAAGCCTACACCTGGATTATGCCCTCACTGCATTAACACAAAAAAGTGTTTGGAGGTACCTTAATGAGCAATTTTTAGTTGTAAAAGGTGCTTGCTAATAGTTATCTGAATTAGGTATGGATCAATGAGTGGTATAGGTTGATCAAAAACTGTCATTTCCTACAAGAAAGCAAAATAATCAACCTCCTCCTATTGCCCTTGCCTATTGTGTGTATCTAGAATTGAAGAGAGAGGAAGAGTGAGGGAGGCCGGAGGGTGAGAGACTTTGGAACCTGGGACTTCAATTCTCTCTCCCTAGTGAAAAGAGCTGATACTCTAAGCAGAATTTTTGGTTAGTATTGCAAGGCCATGTTGGTCTAAGTCATTGGCTACATAAGGAGCAGCTGGTCTGTTGGCATTTAGGACATAAGACCTCCATTAGATAAAAGCTCATAAGAATGACCTTTTGCATAACATTGTTGAATAGTCTGCTATTTGAATATTCTAGTTCTTCAGACCTTTGGTTCGGATATACTTTTACAGTTTTACTGTGCAATGTGCTTACTTTTGCCATTTCTTTTCTCAACAGGTATTCAAAGGCAAAAAGATGCCTGGGAGAATGGGTGGAGTGCAAAGAACAGTGAAAAATGTTTGGGTTTACAAAATTGATCCTGCAAGAAACTTGATGTGGGTGAAAGGCCAAGTATGTTTTTCTACATCTTCAATCCTTTATTAAAAGTCTTCAGAACGTAACTTGTTCATTTCTCCTGCATACTTGTGTTCATACTAAATATGATTGATTTTGCACCCCTTTATTATGAATTCTAACCTGCCATGAAAGCTCTCCACACCCACTGTGCTAAAAATCTTCCTAATTCCCAACAGCCCTACCTCTGAAACCTATTTATGTCTTCTCTTCCTCTAGCCCCTAGCCAGCTCACATTTTCTCTGATCACAAGTAATTCCCTCTCAAGGATCACCACAGCTGCCCCTTTCCCTGTTTGTGCTCCCCTTTTTCAATTCTAGGCAGTTGCCACCCCAAAGTGCCATTGAAGTAAATACTTCTTGACAACATAATGCAGATAGTAAACCCCTGAATAGGCATATTTTGAGTTTTTGATCCATTTGATCAATTATCAATTATGACAGTGCATTATGAACCATTAGATCTTGATGTCTCAATGGTGATATGTTTTTAGATGTCAGTTCAGGAAATAGATACCAACTGATTTTCAAAATACAATAGAAGTACTTCTTTGATCATTCCTGAAAACTGTTTATGGGAAATTCCCAAAAGTTCTAAGCGTGCCTTGAAAAAACAAAGCAATTGACACTGATGCCAAAAATGCCTTTTATTTTGGAGTTCTTATCTGGACGATTTTCAGATTTGTTACTTAATTTTTTCAGGTTCCAGGTGCTGAAGGGAACTTTGTTTTTATAAAGGATTCGGTTTTCAAGAAACCAGATATATCCATTCTTCCCTTCCCTACTTACATTACCCCAGAAGATGAAAATCCTGAAGATTTGGAACCATTGATCGCCGACCTTGGTGATGCGGATCCATTCATGGCTGCTGATTGATAGGGAATCTTAGTATTGCGAAAATTTCGGCTTTGTTTCTTTTGGGGTTAAAATAGGAGGCTGAAGTGGTTGTTACTGCAAAACTTTTGTTTCTAATTTGACATATAGAGATGGTTGATTTATAATAGCTCATAAAAATACATGAGGTGATTAGCCCTTACTTCTTTTCTTTTATCACAATGGGTTTAGAGTGGCTATTGCTGAAAATTTACTTCTTTTTGTTGTCCAAAATCAAGGCTTAATTTATCAAGTAGAAACTGAATTCTTGCAGTCATGTTTAATTTGTTTAAGGAATTGTGTTTATAATGCTCCTTTTCCCCAGTCATAGCAGTTGCCCCTATTGTTCTTCTTCTTTGATGGTTTTGAGAATTGTTCTAATCACATGATCACACAAGATTTACATGAGAATACACAGTCGATTTTATTTCAGGAAACTATATTACAACAAAAAACAACACTTCTCAACAACATCGGACAACTCATTGTCTGCCGTCTCAGAGGTCGGAGAAACATACATTATACATACATTCATTCATACAATTAAGCTGGAACTTTCTATATATATACTCTACATTTCTATAGTCTGTCTATACTAGCGATGAAACTTAGCTAGCTTGTTACTTGCCTTTGAAGCCGACGTAGAATGGCGCTCCGGTGGCCGGAAGCCACTCGCTTCCTTGAATAAATGGATCAACGGTGAACTTCATAGCTTCATTGGAGTGCCTGAGCACGTGGTACCCCTTCCAATTCACCCTCCTCGACGTATCCGCCGCCGGGCCGCGGTTCCTGTACTCCGCATAGAAGAGAGTATCGAGCCCTATGGTTCCGGCCCACGGCATCCACCCATCCGGATGGATGAAATCCCCGATCGTCGACTCCATTATCACCGTTCTCGAGTACGGCTTCCACGGCCTCCCCAGGTACGATTTAATCTTCGCCTTCGCCCCTAGCAGGGCTTCCTCCGCCACGATCCGGCAGTTCTGGAGAACCAGCCCCGTCGGCTCCGCGAAATGCGTCCGCCCGTGCGCCGTCACGATGTTCTTCTGGTTGTCCATCGGCTTCCGCACCACGATCGTGCAGTCCTGGATGACCGCCGCCGCGTCGCCGAAGATGAAATCGATCGTGCCGGAGATGACGCAGTTGCTGTAGAATTGACGGTGCGTGTGCGCGTATAGAGTGTCCTGATAGCCGTCCATTCTGCAGTTGTAGAACGCCGACATGTCGGATTGTACTCTCAGCGCCACCGCCTGGTGCCCGTCCGGCCCCGCCGTGTTCTCGAATCCCATCGATTTGCAGATGAAGCCGTTACCGACCACCGAGAAAGGCGCGGTTCGGAACGTGGATACGCCGTCTCGGAAGCACTTTTTGCCAGTTATAACCGTCCTGCGGGGCCCATCTCCGTACATGAAAATATTAGTTTGTTTCTTATTGATAAGGACGTCTTCCTTGTAAACCCCGGCTTTCACGTAGATTACGTGTCTCGTTGAATTATCTTTCTTCTTGGGTTTATACGCCGCCAGAGCTGCGGTGATGGAGGTGAATTGTCCGCTGCCGTCTTTCGCCACCACCGCGTCTGGTTGCAGTTCTCCGCCGCCGCCTCCGCGTCCTCCTCCCTGCCTTGACTTTAATAATCTCCGGTCGGCTCTCGGCATCCATACCGGGAAGTGGTGACCGCCGCCGCCGCCGCCACCCATCGGACCGAAATGGCCGCCGCCGCCACCCATGTGTGGACCGAAATGGCCGCCACCACCCATATGTGGACCGAAATGGCCGCCGCCGCCTCCCACGTTTTGAGCGTACTGTCCTGCGCCGCCGCCACCGCCACCGTTTTGACCGTACTGTGCTCCGCCGCCGCCGCCGCCGCCGGCGTTTCCTCCGAAGTTTACCCCGCCCTGGGCGGCCATGTTTGCTTGGCCTTGGCCTTGGCCGTGGCCGTGGATATTTAAGCCGGCGAGGATCTGGGGGATGACGGTGACGACGGAGAGGGCCTGGCCGGCGTGCATAGTGGAAGCTTGAAGGAATTTGTGAATGGAGGTCTGAAGATTAGGGTTAGTGAACCCATCCATGCAAGTATTGGAGTAAGTGAGGACGGCGCTAAGCCAATTCTTGAGATCAACTAATCTCTGCATCAGAGACTTGATCGGACACTCGTTGACCGACGACAACGATTCCTGGAGCTCATCAATGGCGTCATTCAACAGCTCCTTACAATCATCCACCGCCATTTTATTCAGCGAATCCTCCGCCTGTTTCGACATCTCCGCTACGTTATTTATCGAACCCCTAAACTGCTCCAAAGACACGCGCATAAACGACAGGATATAATCCTTGGGCCTGGGAAGTTTAATGGCGGCTTTAACAATATCCCTATTGTGCTTCGCGAACCCTAAAGGATCCAAAAGATTAAACCCTACCACCGGAAGTCCTCCCTGAGTGGCGCCTCTGCCGCCGGTAAAGTGGGACAGAAGCTTTGAGCTCGTCGTCAGGTTGACGTTTGAGTTTTTGCTTTTGATTTTGCTTTTGCTTTTGTTTTCGCCGCCCTCGGCGGCGGCAGCGGCGGCAGCGGTGGCATCGGCCATGGCCATGGCCATGGTAGCGCCAATTGCCATGCATACAACGAAGAGAAGACTACCATATTTGCCACCCTGCATGTTTAGTTTCTATATATGTAATATATGTTTTGTGATTATTAGGGTTGAATGTTTGATATGATGATTAAGATTGTCTGATCTATCTTATAAGGATGTTTGCATTATATTGGGGGCATGCATGGATGTCCTTTAAGGTAGGAACCCTAATTGAGGTCAATACTAATTGAGCTATTAGCACCAACTGTGTTCTTTTGTGGACTTGAGATGTGTTGCATGCTCGAAACGGAAAACACGGTAATTAATGTCAAACACTTAAGAAAATTAAATAACAAAATTATATAATAATCCTCCACAGTTATTGTACAACATGGATTTTAAGATGTATGTGCCACTGTGCGGGCAGCTCAGTCACACGGTGAAGTTTGAGAAAAATGATTAGAGATCGAGTCTCACAAGTCATAGAGATCGAGTCTCACCAACCATAGATTTTAAGCTCGCTTTTAAATAGTGTAAGAACCTTTAATTTTCATCCAATGTCATTTCATGTTTGTATTCAATAATTGGGTGATAGAATAATTATATTGGCCTAAATTTGAACAATTATTTTTTATGGAATAAGAATATCTTTAACATATTGATCTGATTTAATAAGGTATCAGGTGAGAGGAAAATTGTCAATTATATTATCTTATCTTGTGAGTTACTTTATATGATAGTTTTTTTTTTTTTTTTTTTTTTTTTTTGATACATGAGGAAGGACGAGCGAGTCTGGTGACCAAATTAAACTAGCACTTATATAATAGTTCGTTTAATTTATCATTTAGAAGTCATACTTCCACTATAAAAGGATAAGCAATAATCTTGCAAAGGCAACTACTCTTTCCTAACTCCTTCATTGGGGAACTCTTCATATCTCTCACTTATAAGATTTAGGAGCTCTATGACTATCAATGCAAGGCTTCCTAACAAAGTCCTAATGGTACGTACATGTACATGACTGCTAGCTACAAAATAATAAAAATCCCTTTTAATATTATTTTATCCTGGATCATCAGAGCTCAACTAGTCAACTAACCCACGATAAGTTCATAAGTTTTATTTTGTTAATAGTTGTAAGGTGTAAGATTCGAATCCTATCAATGAAAAGAAAAAATGATGTATAAAAATTTGACTTTGTTTTGGACACGAGGCCTGCAAATTAATTGAGACACAATTCGCGATTTACCTCTCCTACCAATATTTAGGACAAGGCCCTTAAGTTTGGGGTCAACCCTATAAATAAAAAAGTTTGATTTTTTTTTCCCTTCGAGTATTCACCTTAAAAATGTGTCTTTGAAATACATATGAACTTTTTTTTTTAGTACTACTGACTCTATTACAATGTAGTATCTGTTCATATGGGAGAGCCAGAGCCGTTCTATTGAAAATAAGGGCACTGTCTATTTATAAAGACAAAAAAAATAATTTCAAAATACATCTGGAAAATAACAATAGAAAATTTCTATAACTGAGATAATTGAGTCTAAACCTATTTGAACTTTATGTTATTGTATTCTATATAAAAATAAAAAATATAATACAATATTTTGTCTAAATCTAATGTATAAAAATTCAACAACAACAACAACAAAAAATACAATACAAAATTTTATTTAAAAATGACATTTTAGTGCATATTTAAATAAATAAATAAATAAGTTATTTATCAAAATTTCAATATCAATTCTTTCTAAAAATTTATTTTCAATTACAATTAAAATTAGTCTATAATTTCTAAAAACATATTTATCAAATATAAAAATAATGACTTTATATATATAATATTTTCTAAAAAAATAAAAATAAAAAATTGAGCCCCAAAAGTTGGACCAAATTGATTAAACTCACCAATTCCCTAAATAAGGGTACGACTGTAATTCCACTCGGGCCAAAGCAGCAGCAGTGTAGCACAAAATCCATTTGGGGCAAAGCCCTACATTTGGGCGTATAACAAAAAATCAATTCTCTTTCCCTTCTCCCCAGAGCTCTCTCAGGATCTCCCATGGCGGAACCAAACCCTATCATCGGCCTTACATGGGAACCCAAGTTACCTGGCCTTCCAGCATCCGCCGCCAGCAAACAGAAGCCGCATCATTCCCATTCTCCTGAAACCAGCTCCGCCCTCTACAGGCCACGTTCAGAACTCATCGACGGCCTCTATGTGCCGCCCAGTGATCCCAAAAAGCTCAAAAAGTTACTCCGGAAAGAGGTCAAAGACACTGCCGGCAAGAATTGGTATTCCCCTTTCCTTTCCCCCCTACTTTCTCGCTTAGCTCATCGCATACATGGAGTACTAGTTATGATTATGAATAGTCTGAAAGTTAATGCTGGTTTCGATATTGCGATAGGTTTGACATGCCTGCCCCGACCATTACTCCGGAGCTCAAGAAGGATCTCCAACTCTTGAAGGTGCCATCTATTTCTCTGTTTGTTTATTTAATACAGAATGCATTTAATTTTATGGTTATCTTCGTGGTATATTTGTGCCATGGTGAATTTTGCTCTTATCTGATAGGATTACTTAGTAAAATATTTTCAGGCATGAGAGTGTAGATTCTATTGGAGTGCCAATAATTAGGGATTGTCTTTTGGCTCAAATTTGGTTAAAGTATCAATACACTAATGTAAATTGTTGTGTTGGGAGGTGTTTGCAATGATTAAAAGAATAATTCATATATTCATTGTTTTGAATGCTAAATTGCATGGCAAAATCCTTTATACATGGGGATCTGATCAAACTTCCTTTCATTTTTCCATTTATCTAACTTCCATTTTCTGTTTGATTCCCGTTCTTCCTGTCCGTCTATATATCTGTGTGTAATGAGATGTAGGCAAATTTTATTGTTGTGTAGTATTGGAGCACTGCTGTGAAAATTGCACTTTGGTAGATAATCCGTTGACATATTACAAATGAAAGTAAATTATTGTCAAGAATGAAATCTGTACCCTATTACTGTAGTTAGAATTACAGTAAACAAATTGATAAATGTATTAAACATTTGAAGTCCATTGGCTTGTGTAGAAGTGTTGAGTGAAATTGAGTTTAGCATTTTGGTCATGCAGTGTGGCTTGTTTAATCAATTTGATTTGCTTAACAGCTTGTTTGATAAATAATCTTACTGAATGAAGAGGTGTTGGTTATGATCTACAGTCTTGCTTCCTTACATTTGTGTTAACGAGGATCTGCACTAATTTTGACTGTCTTCATTTGCTTATCTGATGACTGCATTAATTGGTCTGTATGACTCACTAATGGTACTTAAAAACTCTTGTAATTCTATTGCTTGTTTGAAGCTGTTTTAGTAACAGAAGTATTACTTTTCTTATCAACCAAAAAATAGTTTCACCTTTGTTAATGAAGAATGGTTAGATCTTCTATTTATGGTCATATTAAAGGAATGTGATGACACCTAGAAGACCTGCCCTTTCACCCTGCGTTCCCTCTCAATCTCTTCAGATCCTCCCAATCGCATTGATCAATTTAATTGTACAGTAATGGATATAACTATGTTAGAGACACATTATAACGAGCAATCCAATGGATAGTATTCTTACCAATAGACGTTAATTTTTAGTCATGTTGCCACAGCTGGACTTGGACAATAAGTTTCCTATTTCTAGTCTTTCCAAATTGTTTCTGAACTCCTGTCTGAGCAGTGAGTACTATAGCCTATAGGGAAACCTCTTGCAAATGTGTGGGTATCGTGTCTCCATCATGGGAAAAGGGCTTGGACAGCGATCTGTACTTTCACAAACTTTTATAATAATTGATTATTCAATTTTTGGAAAATATTGCTTGGATGATTTTTTGAGCTATGATACTTTCTGTGGTTTCAGATGAGGGATGCTTTTGACCCCAAGAGACACTATAAGAAAGGTGATTCAAAATCAAAGACACTTCCCAAGTATTTCCAGGCAAGTGAATGGTTAACGATGCACTCTATATTACCACGCGGATTCTTTATCTTTTGGATGTTACAAATAAACAAGTTGTGTTTGTTGAATCAGGTGGGCGTTGTGATCGAACCAGCTTCAGAATTCTATTCTAGTAGACTTTCTAAGAAGGAGAGAAAGGCAACTCTTGCAGAAGAACTGCTTTCTGATACAAACCTTGTCGAATATAGGTAAGTCGAAAAAATTTGTGTCAAAAGGAATGATAAAAAAACAAGGAGCTCTCAAACCCAAATCAGGGATGCTCTCAACTTGCTAGAACAATTGATGAGATGAATTAAGGCACTTAATCTTGGTTTCAGTTCAAACTAGACGACATGCTATGCCTAATAATGCGTTTAAATTTCGTTGTCCTCAGGAAACGCAAGGTCCGGGAGATTGAAGAACAAAAGCGGCCAGGTGGAGTAGATAAGTGGAAGATAAGAGGCCAACAGTCCAGGAAACGCGCAAAGCATAGAAGACACTGATTGTTACACCCATTGCAAAGCAAAACATCAATGTTCTTTGATTCAGGCCCCTCGAATTGTCAAACCTGCACTGAATCCTCATAGCTTTGATAGATATGGGAGGAATCTCTAGCGCACCATAGTGGCTTATGATATATGTATTTGCCTTCACATGAAACAGTAAAAAATTTTGTGTACTAATGCTACATTTTTCTTTAAAAAAAAGCTTTGTAGTCCATTTTGTAAGTTCGGTGCTTTTCGTCTTTTCATACTAGGTACCGACAACTTTACAATGTTTACATACCAAGTTGTAATAGATATATCTTGCATGATTGTATCGAGTATCGAGTATGATACTTGATTGTAACAGATATATCATGCATGATTGTACCGAATATAAAAACTTATAGTAGGCATAATTTGTGAAGTTGGATATAAGCAACAATTCATACAACAATGAGAAATTGACAATTACAACATTTGAGTTTCCCATGTGAACAAGGGGTTGCAACTTGGTGTCTTAAATAACATATTTACAGCACTTAAATTATGCTAAAAATCCCAGTGTCAGCAGTAGTACTCTTAAGGCAATGGCTCCTGTGAATCACAAAGCCTTGACAAGTGAAGATAAGCATCTGTCCCTGCAAAATATGCAGTTTTTAAGCAAAATCCAAAATCAGGTGAAGTGTATTAATATCGATTAGGCAAAATGTTTGAACACAAACAACTTCATGCTAGTCTAACTATTCTTTGGACAATAAGAATGTCACGTTTATAGTATACCATATCATTTTATGACACAAATAGTTATGCTAAAGTCGGTGGTGAAATGAATGAGATGCGAGGTGTTAAAGCGTGCGTACCATATCCTTCCATGGAGATAATTTGCAGGTCTCCCCCAAAGTAGCGAGCATACAAGCGACTTATTGGCAGCCCATACCCATAACCAGCCAACGGGGACACAGTTGCCAGCTCAGTAGCACCGAGGTCTGATAGCTCATCCAATGGGTTTCTTGCAGTGCTGTAGAGATACGTAAAGATTTTAGGAAGGCCACTTCTTGGTATTCCACCACCTTCATCAGAAACCTATGAGGAAATTAGAACAGTTCAGCACTGGGGTAAAAAGATAAATGCAATTCATCTCCAACATAGTTACGAGACATTCTTTTGTAAACAACAATCGAAGGAGTAAACTGATGTCTCCATATCAAAGTCTCGCAATGAATTGTTTGAAATAAATTAAAAGGGAACCTGCCTTAATCGTAACATCTTCCAAACCATCAGCTACTATTAAGCGAACAGGAGGTGCAACCTTGTCCGAATCCATGTATCGCTCTTGAACAGCACGCAAGGAGTTCTTAACCAATTCAAACACCATCAATTGTAGATGTGTTGGCACATACCTATTATGAAAATAAAAAACAATGTAATTCAAAAGAGATGAGACTTTCTGTGACTTCTTTCCCTGTGTCATTCGTAAAGCTACAGTAGATCTTTAGAACCCAAATAAAATTATGACAGACTATGATTACAAGATTAATACAAAGGAACAAAACCCAGGTTACCAAGGAGAGTTAAAACTTAAAACAATGAACTCCAAGAATGAAAATGAAGAAACATCACAAAAAATTATCTTACGGGAAAGTGAAATTGGGATCTCCATAAATGCTAACTTCAGGTGCACTGCCATACTCTCGGAAACAAACACAACGAGCATCTTCACTGGCATTTCGTGCAACCTCAACTGGTGACATTTTCGTATGTATATACCCAATACAGTCAGGAAGAGGATTGGGATCATGCAAGGCCACATGCTGCCCTGAGATTGGCAGAAATAAGAAACAGGCCCGTAATTTTAGCATAATAAAGAAGTCTGGCATGAAAACTCATTTGAGTTAAGGAATAAAAGAATACAAAGCAGACATAACTAGACACAACTAAACTAACCAATAAGCATTCGAATCCCAATTCTTGACATGTAGAAGCGGTCCAGGAACTGGTGAATTTCGCCAAGGTCCTGATACCCAACCTTAGGATTCAGATCTTTCTTGAGCTGTTGAACTCCCAAAGCCATCATAGGAACCACATTGTTGTGCCTCACCTTGATCATCTTAATCATTTGCGTGAACTCCCTCTCATCATTTTTATTCTTTATGTCAGGGAAGGATCTAAGGTCACGAAAAGACTCCAAATACCAATCTCGCACCTAAACCAACACAGAATCTAAGGGGTAAGCTTCTTTCTTTCAGGGAGTATTAAATTAAATATTTAAATGCTCTGTTCCGTCTTTGGTCTTTGGGCTTTTTAACAAACAGCTAGAATGTTCTCCATACTACTTTTTCAAAAAAACAACAACTTTGAAAGAAGCATGCTGAAAATTGAAAATTACCCAAAGAGGGACGACAAGAAACTAGTGATTAAACAGGAAGTGGAGTAAACTGGAGGTTACTTAGCATGTGTACCATGTGAAGGAAGCATAATTACAGCAAATTAATGGGAATTGAAGAAGAAGAAAGAGCGAAATTCCGTACCTTGAGCACAGCGGGCTTGAGAGAGAGGCCGTAGGGGAGGTTCTGTAGGTCAATAGCACGGCGCGCAATCCGAATAGGGAGCTCTTTGTGGAGGAACTGGGAGGAGATCAACAAATTCCGGTCCGTGGGCCTCGACCCGAACTCCATCATGTACCTAAGACTCACCCCCGTCTGCTTCATGCCGCCCCATCGCTGCACCTCCTCCATCAACCCCTTGCAGATCAGCGATTCGTGCACCTTCTTCGCCGCCATAGAAGAAGAATAATAAGAAGAAGAAGAAGAAGCTCGCCTGCAGTCGTCGCAATTGCCAATTCTCCGGCGTGGTAGGTCTGGTGTAGCCGTCTAGGGCCTGTGTAAAGTTCAAGTGGAAAAGAGAGCGCCGCCGCGACGGAGAAGCGGAGGCTGCGCTGCGGCTTTCATTTCCTCCGCTGCGCTGCAATTGGCAATTGGAGTGAAGCACTATAATAGGCAGTGGAAGGAAATACACGATGATGATGAATACTATGAAATAACTGTTATCCACATTTCCCTTCAACAAAAATATTTCTTGTTTTACTGTAGTATTAGAGCCAAAGCGTGTGATGGCGTGTTGTGAAATGTGATATTCACGCATCTTACCCCCTCCAAATTTATATTATACATTCATTACTCAGTGCAGGTGGGTTCCAAGCAATACCTGGACCGATAAATCCTGATATCAAATTAAAGTATGTGCTCCATCTCAACTAAAAGTCTAAGCTAATAGTTGGATTGCACAGTAATAACTATGTGCTCACAACTACGTCAACAGTCTGCTGTCACTGAAAGGTGCATTCAGGTGAAGCACGTTTTGTGACATTACCTATTTGGTAAATGACTGTTAACTGTTAGTTGATTGAGTTAATTAGATGATATAACTAATTGATAATATTAACTGAGTGTATGAAGGTGTTTGATAAATTAGCTATTTATAAAATTAAATATATTCGTTTAATTTTATCAAATTATATAATGACCTTTTTTTTTTAATATTATCCTTATTATGAATACGTGGTAATTTGTTTATTAGTTTTTTCTTAAAAATTATTATTTTTCTTCTAAAATGATGGCATAGTAACAGGTGTAATTTTTATATTAATAAAAACTAGTATTAAATAATATGACATTTATAAATAATGCAATTAGGTTCACGTGGCAATGAGTGAGCAGTGCCATAGTGCCATCTATGTTTTAGCTTTGGTTTCTCAATGACAAAATTATTGGGTCTGACACCTCTTCTTCCTAGCCTTGTCGTATATGCTTTTCAACGACCCAATTAACAATTTAACAGTACTTTAAGTCTTTAACTAATTACTAAAAAGATTAGGCCAATATTGGAATCAGAATCATAATTGTAATGTATTATCCGAATATATTTTTAGTTTAATTGATTTTTGTTGTATTAATATTCATTAATCTAACTCTAATGAGACTGGTCCCTCTATCGCACTCAAAAAAAAAAAAAAAAAAAGACGAATTATGCTAAGTTGATTTATTCAGTATAATTATATATTTATTTAAATCATACACAAGCATTATATAATAATTATTATATAACACAAAAATAATTATATGTATAATTATGGCCGGTTACTAACAATTAAAATGAAGAGGATAAATTAAGATTGTTAAATATATATTAAAAAAAATGAAGAAGAAATTGTATCAACGAAGAAGATAAATTTAGCGTGGGCCGACAACATTAAAATATAAGAGATGCTGTCTCGGCTAATTCTCTTGTCTCTATCTGCTCTAGTTAGTCTGCTAATCATGAACCAACAACGAACCTAAAACATTCATTCCTTTTACAATATCTACTATACTAATAAAAGCCCAAGAGAGTTAGGCCTATAATGGGTAGAAAAAATGGCGGTCACAGATTTTAATCAAATGAATGGCTCAGATTGATTAAAAGATTGATCAGATTTAAATTTTACACTAAAATTTCCTAAAATACCCACACACCGTTACTAATTCTGTTAAAATTTTAAGAATTGCCGTTAGTTCACCGTTAACTTACTCATTGATTTCAATAAAAAAAAAAGGTCTTGAACCTCATCTCAATCAAAGTTGGCATAATTAGTACTCTATTTTACTCTTATTAAATTATATAAATAATAATTTAGTAGTTACAACAAAAAATAATACATATGCATTTCTTTAATTTAGAATTATGTGTCTACAATGTCTTTATTCAAAAAAAAAAATTATTCATTATCAATAAATTAAATAAGATAAATAATTTTATTAGTTATATTGTCTTTATTTTTCTTCAATATAAAAATTCATTATATTCAAATTTATTAATGGATTATATTCGCTACAAATGTCTTTATTCAGTGAAAAACAAATTATTAATTATCAATAAATTAATTAAAAGAAATATTTTCATTAGTTATATTGTCTTTATTTTTCTCAAATGTAAAAATTTTTACATTCAAATTCATCAATTGATTATATTCACTACATTATCTATTATCTTTTTTGTGCACTATTTTTCTAATTAAATATCAAAATTATAACATAAAATAATGCTATATATTTATTTACCAAGTATTTTATAATATCATGAAAAAAATAAAAAAAAATATAATTAATAAAGCCAACCATATTAACTACTTGAGAGATTTTGTGACAAAGAGAGTATTCAAATCACACAACAAGTTAGAACTACCTCGCAATGTCCTTGTTTG